AAGGAGACTTAATGGGAGATGGCAGGCAGCTGCCTTACCAAAGCAGCAGGAGGGGTGGAACACCAAAATGTGGTCAGGGCAAAGATGAACAGCTAGGAAGCTTAGACAGTCTTAAGGACAGGTTTCAGAAGAGAGATGAAATAAGTGAGGAGGAAACAAGGTGTCTATACATTTTTATATTTCATTTGTCTGCATGCCTTGTCGGAGCAAGAGCAACACTAGTACTGTTGCATATTTCTTGCTACTCGGGTAACTGTAGAGCAGTGTTGCAATTTTGCTTTTTACTCTTAGGGAGAACTCTTTTTAAGTATATACACAGTGTCTGTCATATAGCCAACACATATCTGTTGCTGACATTGTTTCACTGTTAACAAAATAAATGGAAAATACAAACTTCGCATATCCTCAAACTAAGTAGATTGCTTCATATTACTGCCCTTGAGTGTCAGAGTCACTGTGAAATGGGCTTCAACAATGGCTCTGAAGAACAGCAACAGTGTACGATTTCGGGAACAGAGTCCACTGCAAATATGAAAATTGCCTTCTCATCTAGCTCGGATTGCAAATGATCTGCTGGCGATATTACTCGAATGATCCTCTGCTTAAGATATGAAAATTGCCTTGTCATCCCAATGGGATCGCAAACGATCTCCATGTATGAGCTAGGTAATCGTTAAATGGTCTTAAATGGCGCAATGGACATGAATAGAAGTGACAGGTACATTTCCCTTTGAGATAATATCTTGATTTTTTTCATTGTGTCTTCCTCATTTAGGACAGCCATTGATAATAATAACAGCACTACAACTGACAAAGAGACGCGGCCTGTGACTTCTATTTACTGGCTTGAAAATGTACCTTAAGCCAGGTAATAGTAATGAAACTAAAGACAAATAGCCAACGTTCCCGCAGTTGAGAATGGAAATTCACATCTAAACCATCTATACTGTTAGGAGCCACTCGCAGGGGCGCACTATTGTTCCTATCTTCTATTGAGAGTGTTATCCTGATCTTATTATTGTTTGAGCTGGACAACGCGACCATATTAGGTGACAAACTTTTCAGAAATTTTCAAGAGGCTCTTTTTCAAGCTCGTTGAAATTTTCAAAGTGAAAAAAATTACATCGGCAGAAAATCGTCTTCCGACAAAATTTACAAGACCGATGAAATTTTCAAGTTTTTACCGTAGTTAGTGTGCAGTCAGCGTTGTGCGTTTACAATCCATGTTACAGTAGGGTGTGAAATCGCAAGCAAGATTATGCAAGATTTAAGTAGGGCTGTTGGTGTTTCCACTCCATATAGTGGCAAACTCCTGGAGCTGGTATACCCCATTGTCTCACCACACACGTTCCCCTATTGTGAGGAGAGGTCTTCCCCATTGCTAATGGAAGTATCCCCCATTGTAATTCCATAACCACTTAACTTTAAATCTGATCACTTTTGATTTTAAAAGCAGGGCCAGTCAACAGAAAGACCATTTGTATAATGATTAAGACCATGCAAGATTGTTTGTGATCTGAAATAGCAAATTGGGACCATTTCAAGTCCACTAATGTTAGTGTTTGTATAGTTGCAGGTTTAATTTTCTAGCTGATATATTGGTTATTTGTTATTGTTTTCTAGTAACCACAAAGAAAAGAAGCACAAGAAACACAAAAAGACAGAAAAGTAAGCACCTTTTACTACGTATCTTATGATTTAATTTACTTATTTTGGATAACAAAATATGGTTTCTGAGCTAAGTTATTTTCTCAATTTGAAACACATGTATTGCCTTATTCTTCTCAGCTGATGATTTCATGTCATCAGTGATGTAAGTTTTCTTACTGTCATTGTTTTTAATTATTGATTTTTGAGTCATATTTACTGTTATAAATTAATTTTTTTTACCAATTTTGATTAATTCTAAATATTGATATACATGTATGATAAATCTTTGACATGCATGGTTCTTGTCTCAGGTCTAACAACAACAAGCTCAAGATAAAGCACAGCATAGAGATGCATCCGACAGTTTCAAGGTCATCTTCAAGAGAGAGAATTTTGTTAAGAAAATCAAGGGCCCCTTTAAAAGAGAAATCTAGGTCAAGGAGATCAAGGTCCCCTTCAAAAGAAAGATTTAGGTCAAGGAAATCAAGGTCCTCTTCAAAAGAGAGACCTAGATCAAAAAAATTAAGGTCACCTTCAGAAGCGAGATCTAGGTCAAGGAAGTCAAGGTCACCTTCAGAAGAGAGATCTAGGTCAAGGAAGTCGAGGTCACCTTCAGAAGAGAGATCTAGGTCAAGGAAGTTGAGGTCACCTTCAGAAGAGAGATCTAGGTCAAGGAAGTCGAGGTCACCTTCAAAAAAAAAAAAAAGATCTTGGTCAAGGAAACCAAGGGCACATTCAGAAGAGAGTTCAGTTGTATCAAGCTCAGGTGATGGCTCTACTCTAGCTAGCTAGATTTCGTGGTCAATTATTGCTTTCCTGTACGTTTGGCACTGGAAATCTTTTTTTTTTTTCAAAATCAAATGTTAATTATCTTTTTTTATATGGGAAGTATATTTTTAACTGATATTTTTTGGGGTGGGTTTTGGCTAGGATATCTTGAATGTATGATTTCAAGGATCCCAGACCTACTGTTCCTACTTTTTGGGTAGGACCCTCCTACTTTGAAAGAAAATGTCCAACTTTTCCTGCTTTTAAATGAATTCATTTGAAAGTTTTGTCATTTTGAACACTTTCTCTGCATGCTTCTCTTTTCTTCTCCTTCTCTTCTCCTTTCTCTTTTTCTTCCCTTTTTCATTTGTGTTTGGAATTTTTCTTTTGTCTTTTCAAACTTTGTGCGCTTGGACTACCTTGTATCTAGATTAAATTACAATAGAACATCCAGGGCTCGGTTTCATCACAACATAGTAGTATTATAGTACTATTTATTCATATGTAAATTGGGAGAAGTCCCAGAATTCCACATGTGACACAGAATTTACATAGTGGTGATTTCCCTGCCAAATTTCTTTTTAGAAACTTCCACNAAATTAAATAAAATTACATTATGTACCTGTATAATTGTGTAATGACGTCTTTACTTTGTACGGCAATCGAACTTTTAGTACAGTTTGAGACTAATTGTACTCCCAGACACGCAAATATTGCGTTGTGTTTGCTAAGGCTTCGAGTTAGCAAGTGGGTGCAATAGCCACCGCAAATAGCAATCAATCGTTATGCTTGAGTGTGGTGGCAATTCGCGATGCTTACGAGTTAAAGAGCCCATGATGTTGTTATCAAAGAAACTAGAGCTGTATCAATGTGCAACTCATACTGTTAAATGGCTTGGCTCAGATCTCACTGCCAGAAACCACAAACTATATTTAGAAATTTATCTGATCCTATGCCCATCACCTGTGGTGTGTCTGGAGGATCCATCCTAGGTAAACTCGTGCTCATTGTCTTGATAAATGATCTCCCATTCAAACAACTTCTGAACAAAATCAAAAACTAAACTGTGATATGAAATACAATATAAATAAAAATGGTCACCAATGTCAAAAAAAGGTTTATTACTACGAGATAAAAACATGAACATTTACCTGAGAACAGTAAGAAGCTATTAGTGATTTTTTATCTTATGAGCTCTGAAAAGACCTAGGGGATAGCACAGTATGTCAGGCACAGGGGTACATCCCTACTAATCGGGTGACCGAGTTTCGTTAGTATCATGTGAAAGCACGGTGTCCTTTCTGTGTCCTGTAATACGCCCCCATTTCAGGCCTACCAAACTACCAGACTCGGCACCGAATGATCCTGAATTCACCGGTAGATCAGACCACACTACCCGTTTTCAAGGTGTGTGTCAGATCGCATTAAACAGTATCAGACGCGACACCGCTCTTGCCTAGTACGCGATGTCATAGTGACGATTCTCAGCGGGGTTGAAAAGCATTGCATCACCACTCAAAATTTGTTCAGGGTATGATACTGTGTAATGTGATCTGACACACACCTTGAAAACGGGTAGTGTGGTCTGATCTACCGGTGAATTCAGGATCATTCGGTGCCGAGTCTGGTAGTTGGGTAGGCCTGCATTTGAGAGTAAAAAAAAATTACATGCCGACAACAAGCCGCTGATTGGGAATTTATTTTGCAACCAAAGCGATGCATGTGTCTCCTTTCTGTGACCACACGTTGCCAGGATACAGAAAGAAAACCGTCCAGTGTAAAGGAGGTTTTCGACAGAAGTCAGATTATGTGTGGTTGCACTTTTGAAAATCAGCTCTCTTTGTGTTATTGCTCTTCATATAACAACCTGTTGCTTAAATGACTACATCTACATGTATTACGATGTGGGTAGGGGGAAGAAAAACATCCATGATATGAAAATCGCAAAAGAAAGAGCAATGATTTTTGTATCATTATGCAGCTGAAGGATAATTCTATAGAAATCAGTAAAGTAAGTTTTGTAATATTGCATGACCTATAATTAAATGAGGTCAAATTTGAGGCGTTTTTTGAAAAAATAAAGATTTTTTTAAATGTAAGTCAAGATTAATAGTAAATGGTTATGCCTGATAACTTCTGCCCTCATAAAAAGTATTTGGTGAGATTTTATTATTCATATCTAGCAAACATTTTAAATGGTGAGCATTTTCTTCCCCATTCCCCATTATTCATAAATTGAAGCAAACACCCCCTGCAGCATTTTTTTTTTTTTTGGGGGGGGGCGGACAAAATCAGGCATAAACATGGGAAACAGGTTCCAATGAATGGGCACCTAGAATCCTGTGCTACAGTAAAAATTCAAATTTTCCCTTCTATCACAATTATTGAGGTGTAGAAGCTAATAGTAGGACTTGAGAAGAACAATTTATTAAAATATTTGAGTCAAAATTGAATGTGATGTAAGTGCACTCAATCTTATTATTTATCCAAATGTGATTGTCAAGTCACAACTGTGACTTAAGTCACAACTATGACATGACAATTCACAGCTATGATGTCATAATCACATCCAAATAAACCCTGAAGAGGCCCAGTAGGGCCGAAAGATCTCGCAACAAATTTTCAGTGTTTTTTCTATAAATATAAATTACTACACACAAAAGGAATTTAAAAAATTCAACTATATATATATATATATATATATATATATATATATATATATATATATATATATATATATATATATATATATTTATATACACACAGATTTGGAGGGGGTCTGGGGGTCCTGACCCCCCCCCCCCCTTCGATTTCTGAAAAAGGTCACATGAATGGTCCCCTCCTGAAATTAGAATTTTGACTAGCTGAATCATATATCTAAACCGTAGCAAATGGCACTGTTTGCCCTCTGAAAAACTAAATTTTCGGGGGGCCTTCAGCGGGCCCTGAACCCCACGC